GTAGGAACCCCTCCTTTTGGAAGGGTTTAATGACACCCCAAACAACTCTGAAATGCAGTAGACCTAAATGTTTCCATTTTGAGAAAACGTTTAAACTCTAGATCCCTTGGCAAAGCAATTTGTAACATTTAATACTTATCCTTAGATTATCGTAGGAGCCTCTGTGAAGCTATCTTTTTGAAGTAATGCCAATAGAAAGTGGAAGTTGTGCAGCTGCTCGCCAAGCAAAGCAGAAACGTAAATCACACAGTCTATCTATCCGAAGAACCAACAGTTCTGAGCAAGAACGAGCAGGACTGCAGAGAGACATGTTGGAAGGGCAGGTAAGGTAGCTGATACTTAGACTATTTTGTTAATTCTTTTATGATGACTTTTTAATGTGAAGAAATTAAATAGACTTAAGTAATGAAGTATGTCTAATAAAGCTGGAGGAGCAGCAGCTTGCAGCTTGCTTGCTTTTAAGTGCTGACTTTCCTTGCAGTCTGTTGATGTGGCTATTGACCTTATTTCTGGTTATCTTCAGACTTGTGAAGCTTTTTATCAACTTTTATGTATTCTTAGAGCGAATGATAAAACCAGTAGCAGCTACAAAGAATACAGCTTACTCAACTCACTGCACTTCTTTCCCTCCAGCCCTTTAAGTTGATGACTGATTCTGGAGTTCATAAATATGAATTTAGAATACTGCTAGCCCATCGATATGAATAAACTGAAATATCTGTTACTAGAACTCAGGGAAGGTTTTGGTGGGAACACTGTTCTGCATTTTTTTCCATAAAATAAATTACATTAAATATTGTCTGCTTGATAGAGGTATGGGATAACTTTGTTTCTCTGTTTATGGTTTTTATTTATTTATTTATTGAACTTGGCTTGAATACAGATGTGATCTTCACAGAATCCCAGAATGGTTGAGGTTGAAAGGGACATCTGGAGATTGTCTTGTCCAACCCCTCTGCTCCAGCAGGGTTCACCTGCAGCATGTTGCCCAATACGGTGTTCGATTGGTTTTTGAGGATCTCCAAGGACGGAGACTCCACAGCCTCTCTTGGCAACCTGTTCCAGTGCTCAACCACCCTCACGTTTGAACCATTGTTTCTTTATATTCAGGTGGAATTTCCTGTGTTTCATTTTGTGCCCGTTGCCTCTTGTCTTGTCCGTGGCACCACTGAGAAGGAGTTGGCTCCATATTCTTTACATGGGTAAAGCACCTCTCCTGGTGCAGGACTTTGCACTTCCCTTTGCTCAACTTCATGAGTTTCCACTCAGCCCATTTCTCCAGCCAGCTGAAGTCTCTCTGAATGGCAGTGCAGTCGTTTGGTGTATCTTCTGGGCATTTGATTTAGGGCAAAAAAACGACCACAAAAAATTCTGTAGTTCTCCTAATCTGCTCAGTCTGTGTAATGGACACAATTTAGAGCCAGTTGGAATGCTTCACTTAACAATGCCGAAGTTAACTAGGTAAAGCTCCTACAGGAACAGTGTTTGGAGTAGTGTTGCTGAAGATAAGCAAATAGTGGATTTGAAAATTATGCTATCACACTGAACACACAAAGTTAGTACGAGCCTGGCAAAGGCAATGCAAAACTTGATTTTTTTTTATCAGTGAAGTGCTTTGAAATACTAACAATATTATGCTATGAGAAGCCACACTTTCTCTTGTAGGCTGTCTTTAACACTGTTAAGGGAAAAGGTTGCGTCTCCTCTGTGGTAGGACAGGTTTTTGTATTGAATCAGTTTTTTGGTTGATTTAAAGTACCAGTTTTCTGGAAACTAACAGAGCTAAAGTTGTTGCTTCTAGTCATCTGGAAACTGGACAATGTAAATATTTACTTGTGTAGAAAACTGTTCTTGCTTTTGGACTATTACAGCCTTACTTTAGGAAAGGAATGAAGGGCAGCGGAGAGGTGAGCCTGCTGTAACTTCTATGTATATAAAAAAATATATTGACCTATTTTAGTATTTAACATCAAACTCCATAAAAGTTTATGCTGAGAAAATAAATATTTTATATGTTAGCTGATTTAATTTTGTTGACCTTGAACAGTCGCTTACCAGTTCTAGTATGGAGAGAGCATTAATGCCACTTCGCAACAGAGCTATAAAACACATGAAATCAAGATGATATCGTCTCTTTATCTGCAAAAATAGTTGTTGCATCCTATTTTAATATGCTAATTTAAATAATGCAAGCTTAAGAATGAGTAAAGCAGGTGGATGCATGTTATGATGCATTGGCTACTTTCACAAGTTTAGATTTATGTATGCGTTCAGGCTTTAAGAAACGATTTAAAAACCTTCCTAACAGTTCGTATTTCTAAAGCTGTTCAAGGATACCTTGGTCTCTTTGGTAACCTTGTTATATGGAATTACTGGGTAATTGAATCGGAAATAAGTCTTTTAATATTTCTCTTAATAGTATTTCATTTGTGTGGTATTGTTGTTCAATCAGCTTCATTGAAAGTTGATTTTAGTCTGGATCTGCTTCGTGTTCTGGTTTGTTGGGGGTATATGAACAAGAGTATTGACTCAAGGGAGAGGCAAATGCAGGTGCAGAAATTAATAGCTGGGGGCATGAAGAGCATAGGACCACTTCTTTCAGCAATATTGCCTGTTTCTGTCAGTTTAAAGTAGACATGAAATTGGTATAAGACTGAGTTACGAACAGTATGTTATGTGTTCTATGTTATGGTTGTTAGTGGTTTCTTTCACTCTTTTTCAACTTGGTGTCTGGAAATAGCTTCATAGCTAATATAAGAGCATGATCATGATAGGCTTTTCTGTGTTTTTCTGCAGACAATTATCTTATTATCTTGTACATGAACCAAAACACAAGTCAGGTTAAATTCTGATTGCTTAGATGCTGTCTTACTCAAAGACATGTGCTGCCTCTAATGGCTAGTATGCATATACTTTTTTATAATTCAGGCAATTTTTAGAAATGGAACCAATTTATCTGTATCAAGTGTTTTTGGGAAAGTTCAGAATAAAATGAGCAATAACTATCTTCAAACTTGCATTGAAATTAAGTTCACCCTGATTTAGGTATGTCCTGTACTAACATTTTTAGTTCCTTTCTAATAGTTCTGTACTTCTCGATCTGAAACAGTGGTGGTTTGTGCTGTGACAGAAACTGTCTTCAGTTTTCTTTTTTGTTCATAGTTGATGACTTTGAAATTGTATACTTTTGCTTTGTGTAAAAAGTAGTTGTTGCAAATGGGCACAATCTCTGTATGCTTTCGTTGGGATCCTCAAGATGTATGCTTCATTACTTATCTTTGAATTTTGGTAACTTGTTTTCTTGCATAGCTGTTTCTCAGGTTTTGAATATGTCTTTTTGCAGGCTTGTCCAGTACTAAACTATTGTCTTACTGAATTTTGAGATGACAGGTTAAATATTAACTATCCTACTAAGGAGTGCTTAAGCTTTTTTCGTTGTTAGGGAAAGTTTCAGTTAAATGGAAGCTTCTGTTTAGAAAGTTTATAGGTGGCTAACTAGGTAAATAAAATATGCTGTCCATCAGCAACTGAAGAAAAGAATAGGTTTAGTAGAATTGATTTACTTAGTGAGCAAGGATGGTTCATTCTTGGATCCATAGCTGTAGGTTAGGCCAGTTAGTGGATTGACTCGAGTTATTAGGCTAATGACAGTATTTTCTCCTTTGTAATCTGTCTCCTTTCCTAATCTGTATGCTGTGCTTTAAATTTTGTAAGTTGAAAGTGGGTTGTTAGCACTAGGTATTCCCAATTATCAATTGACTACTGTCAGTTGTCTTCTACATCACGCGGTGTCTTCTCAGCAGGGTTCAATAACAGAATTATTTCTATAGTGAGAACCTTGAATCCCAACAGAAATCAGTAGTCAGGTTTTTTTGGATAAGGTATACGTTTGTACAGTGAAAATGCAGCGCTGATCTCTGTTTTGTAGGCAGACGAATACAATTTAAATAACTTGCATACAGAATATCCAGGCCAAGCTGGATATTGAACTCGGGTTACATAAATCCTGTGTTCATGGTTTTACCATTTACTTGTTTTTATGCCTTTTATTACTACGATGGTTATGCAGAAGTTAAAAACCAGCCCTTCTGTGTGAACTTGCTTTTAAATGTTTTCTGTGAAGAGGAGATCCTTGAATACTCTCTGGGGAGGGAAGGATTTGATTTTTTTTTTTTTTTTATGCCTTTTATTACTACGATGGTTATGCAGAAGTTAAAAACCAGCCCTTCTGTGTGAACTTGCTTTTAAATGTTTTCTGTGAAGAGGAGATCCTTGAATACTCTCTGGGGAGGGAAGGTTTTATTTTTTTTTTTTTTCCCCCTCTCCCTTCTATTTAAATAAAAAGAAATCTTATAGCACTGCAGTGTTGAAGCCACGTTTTTGATTCCAGTGAGGTTTTGTATTTCCTATCTGTACAGTAATTAATTCCTCAGTCCCTGGCTTTAGACGTAACAGGTTTTAGCCTGCATCTGGTTTGTGCTCTATCACGTGTGCAGAAATTTAGAATTTTACTTTCATCTTTTTCTTTCATACGGCACTTGGAAACAACGGACATTTATGTTTTTTGTTTTATTCTGCGCTAAAGAATGTTCTGAATAAATGAAAGCAGAAATACATTAAAGCAAAAATAAAATTTGGGTAGGCTTTGGCATGCTTTTGCCGATTTGCATGCTGTGCTCTATTCAAACAGGAATCTGTAGTTTACAGGTATATTTTCATTAAATCATAATTTTAAATATTTGGTAGAACCTTAAATGAAACAGGTGCAAAAACCAGTATTTTGCCTTCTAGGATTCTAAACTACCTTCTTCTGTTCGGAATACGCTTCTTGAACTTTTTGGACAAATAGAGCGGGAATTTGAAAACCTCTATATCGAAAATTTGGAATGTGAGTATATTTTTCCCAGCAACCTGAAGTTGTTAGGACTTAGGATATAGTAGAGCTAATTGAAAAGCTGACATTGGATACTATAATGTAATTAATGTAGTTTATCTGAGGAGCTTAAGAACTGTTTTGAACTTCTTGCCAAAGACCATGTTTGTTCTTTTTAAGAAAAATCACTTTCTTTTGTCTTTGTATGCCATCCTCTTTGATGCCACGGCAAAGAAATGGAAGTGGCCGTCTCCTTTTCCTGGTGTAGGCTCTGCTGTATGCCGTCTTAATCTGGCTGTAGCTTTGCTCAGCCTATGAGGTTTGAGACTGCAGCTTTGTCTTTATTTTTGTATGCATACTTACAAATGTAATTTCTGGACCTCACAACTTAGTACATTACATGACCAGTATCTGTGGCTGCCTGTGAAGACTGAAGTTGAGCACTCGGTTAATAATTCCAGGTGTTATCTGTAACAAATGTAATTGTGTAATGACTGTATTGCAGTGTAAATGAACAGAGGATTCAAAGTAACCCAGGCAATCATATGATAATGCCTTTCTTAACTTTTCCTGTTAGATTTTACAAGCTGTGTTGCATGACTTGGCCTCTGAATTGTCAAATCTGTCTGTCTTGGCTTCAGGTCAAGCTCTTTTCCACATCTAATCTGTTCTCACAGTTAAACCAAACACTCATGTTACAAAAACATTCCTGCATACTTCCTGAAAAAGTACTGCTTTTGTTCTGCTTCTAAAACCTGAGCTCACATTGGTTAAAGGTTAGCATCAACACTTCAGTTTTTTTGCAGTAGTGACACTTTGGTCACTTGAGTTCTCCGCCTCCTGCTGGGAAGTTGGCTGAAAGTAAGAAAAATAGGGATATTTTTTTCCAGCTTGTTGTTCTGAGAGAACCAACAGCTGTGAAGGTTTGAAAGCCTTTTATACGTTGTCTCTATGGAAGTACTGCAGCCTTAACTGTAGATGGCTTGCTCGATATCTGCTATTACTCCGTGTCACAGCAATTTCATGACAGCAACCAAAATTGAAGAGCTATATGTGACTGCTTGGTTTTGGGGGGAAGAGTGGCATTAGGTGATTATTATTTTCAAAAAATCAGGCTTTAGATGCACCATGCAGATGTCTGTCAGCTGAGATAAGCTCTAATTGCCTACTATTGCTATCAGTTATGCTGACAAACATGGTAGAAATGAGGTTTTTTTTATCACTTAACTTCACAAATGTTTGACAGAAAAGTGGTGGTGAATGCATTTGTACCCTACAGGGCGCGATTATTTTCCTTCCATCCTATATCTGTTTCTTCCACATCCTACTTCTTCAGCTGAGAATTCTAGTTGAGTCTTAGCCTTTGTGATCGCTTTCCACCCCCTGACAATTTCCAGGTTTCCATTTCTTTTCTCTTCTGATGCCCAGTCTGTTGTTTTTGCTCTTGGTATAACGTCTATGTTATTGTTGCACTTACTTTACCTAGAGAATCTCAGGTTTTCCCCCCTGGTTCTCATATACTCTTCTTCCCCTGTTACAACTAATTTCTAGTCCCTTCCTTTCCTTATTCCTTCCAGGCTTCAGTTTTAATTCTTTCAGCCAATTCCCTAATTGTTTGTTTCCGTCTTCTGTTACTACAAGCCTGTCTTTTCTTTGATTACTTCTCTTTCGCATTACCTGCGTTTAATGAAAGTTCAGGTGTATGTGACTGGGAACACAGAAGAGAGTATCTGTCTTTGCTCATTTAAAGCACTTGGACAAGGTATGCGAGTGTAAACTGACTTTATTTTCCTTCTAGTGCTTAGAACTGAGACTTCAGTGAATTTCTCAGGAATGGCAAAAAGCATACTCCTGATGGATCACGTTCTCCCAGATTTCAAAGCCTTATTCCAAAGCCTGGGGAGTGAGTGAAGTTTTTTTAAAGAAGAGGTCCCAAGAATTTGTAGAAAGACAGACCTAGACTTACTCTCAAGAACAGCTGAAAACTGTCTAAAGCCTCTCAGTAAAATTCAGCCTGAGGAAGATACTTAAAGAATGTCAGCCCAAATTTTGGAGGAAAGCTATAAGCTATTGAAAAGGTTCTTTATAATATAAAGTTGGGCAACTTTTAAACCAGTCCGGCCATGGGAATCACTTATGAGTACCTAACCTGTTTTTAGCTATGCCACTTCTCTGTCTTCTGTTCCTATAGTGCTGGTGAGAGTTATAAGTAATTGACAGAAAATCATTCTCGTTGCGATATATGCTTTGTCATATGTGCGACAAAAATATTTTGATAGTATTTAATATTTCTAAAACACTTGAATGAAATACGTATATGTCAAATTCTTCAATTTTTTGGGTACTTTTTGAAGGATAAAAAGGATTCATGTAATTTTGCTGCTTTTTTTTTTTAACTCTAGAGGTAGATAAGCATTTAAGGGAGAATAGTATTTCGAGATAAATAAAATCTTTGTCAAGAAATGTCATACTAATTGGCTCATACTTGCTATACTGTAGGCTTTCTGTCTCGTATTGAATTTAATTCAATACAGGTGTGCCATGTATTTTACAGAAGCTCTTTTGTTAATCTTTAGTCACGTTTAGTAGTAAAAGTAACAGTAATTAGAAGCGAGTAATACTTTCCTTGGAATCTGGGTCAGGGTTGATCTCTGGAAAATTCAGCATGAAACTTAGTTTATATCTTGGTGAGAACTGCTTTTATAAAATCACAGTTGATCTCCCTTCCTGTCCTTAAAGTAAAATAGATTGCTTGTTAATCATAACAATTTTGAAATAATATGTTAATGATTCTGTTTTAGTCTTTTTTTTTTTTTTGGCAATAATGTGAATTTTTATGCTGTTGTTAGTGCGCAGAGAGATTGATACGCTTAATGAGCGTTTAGCAGCAGAAGGACAGACAATCGATGGAGCTGAGCTGAGCAAAGGACAACTGAAAACAAAAGGTAAGAGAAACACAAAGAATCCTAAACTAGTGTTTTTGAGTTTACTTTCTCTGTACTTATCTGTTAAAAATGTATTGAAGGGAATCTTATTGAAGGGAGTTAATACAATGCTATAAATAAGTTAATGTTGTATCTGAAATATCTATCTATACATTTGTTTATCTCAACAGCCAGTCATAGTACCAGTCAACTTTCTCAGAAATTAAAGACAACTTACAAGGCATCTACTAGCAAGGTATGAGACAGTTAAACCTTTACTCATCAATGTGTACTCATGAGACTAACGTGGCTGTCTTTAAGTTGTAAATTACTCAACTTAAAGATTCAATAATGCTCTTCAAGAACATAATATTTTTACAATAATTGCTGATACTTTTTATAGGATGAATATTGGAATGGAGAGAGTTTGTATGCACATGTGTGTGTGAAGTTACTCTTTTGTAATAGAATAACAAAAAAGAATCCAATTTCATGAGGGAAACAGAAAACTTAGTTGATGGTGAAGTTCTGAGTAAAGATTTGAGTGTTGTGGTTGAAATGGGGATTTAAGTAGGGATCTGTAGATACCATTTGAGCAGTGTTCTATTATGGAGGGGTGTTGGAGCTGTGAGGTTTTTTTTTTTTTTAATTCTTGCCAAACTGGTACCTAGAGATGCCTCTTTTTTTTTTAATAGTTAATGACTTACAAATTCATTAATGACGACATTTAAGTAGAGACAGCACAGTACTAACAGTATAGCTATTGTGTCATTATGAATTGTTATGAGTTAGTATTTTCTCTAGTGTTTTTTTTTTGCGGCCGGTGTTAAATGCTTGTCATCTTTTGCTTGCTTGTGAAGTAAAGTACGTAGCGCTCATATATCCTGGGCAAGGCAGGCAGATCTTGCAACTTCAGTGTGGGAAGCTGGGATGTATGGGGTTGAAGACTGGCTAACTGCTTTGCTTCCCGATATTATATGCATGCACAGCAAAGTAGTCATGAGTAGCGGAACATGAATAATTCAGTAACTTTCTGTAAGCATCATATCTATCTATCAGTTGATAATTAACAGCTGTTTAAATGCTGATGTATTTCTTCCTGCACCGTTGAATCAGAATTTATTGCGGGGTAGAGAGGAGAGGTGAGGAGAATGATTGATTAAGCTGAGAGCATCTCTCTCCAGTGTGTCCTTTGTTCACGTCCTTTCTGTAGTTTGTAGGAGTGGTTGTATTTGGGCCTCTGCCTCCTTCCTGCTCAGAAGAGTTAAACAGCTCTGGTTTTTGGGCTCTTCAGCCACAAAGAGACTATAACCAAAAGTTCGGGAGGGGCTATAACTATTTTTCTAACAAACTATGATCTTTCTCTGTTTATCTGAACGGGATGCATTTAAAGTTTCCTATTGCCAGTATCTGGGAAAATGAGTTTTGAAGAGTTCACAGCTATAAAGTTCTTAAGTTTGTATTTTCAGAGGCAGTGAATGAATTATGGTATTCACCAAAAATGGGTTGTGTTCCAAGTCAAGTTGGGTGGTGGGTGGCAGATTTGCTCTTATACCTCTCCTTTATACTGTCACTGTGAGCCTAATTCAAAACTTGTTAAAGTCTGTTGTTTTTCTGTGAAGTAAATTAGAAGAGACTTAAGTTTTACAGACCAACTTGTTTTGTGTAATTGCACGAGATTACATTTTTCTGATTGCCAACCTATAAAAAGTTTAGGTTTGTTCTGATAAGAGCTCTCAATATTTGCCTGTTCTAATCATAAAACTGGTCCTTGACTGCCGTCTTGGAAAAACATGCTATGACTAAAATATTCCAGTCTGCTCGGTTTCTTGGGGAAAACGTTGAGGTAATCAAGCTTGAATCATAGTCCCTCATGAGGAAAATTCCCATATCTGGGTACTTTTTATTCCTTAGATGAGTTGAGAGTCTGAATGTTAAGTTGGCAAAATCTGTATCAGAATAAGGATGGTTTGAACAGCCGAGGTAATCCATCAGTGTCCAAATCTTGAAGGGACAGATTAGATCTAGTGTATGGTACTCTAAAAATCCTTTTTTGGATGTATTAATGGTAGAGATGCTGTAGTCTAGCTACAACAGTTTGTAGATGAAGGAATTGCTTTGTGAAATTCATGCCTTGTTGATGTCAACAAGTTGTTACTGGTGATGTTAATGATCCCTGGCTGTAAGAGTGGTTAAGACATCAGAAAAACACCAACAGTTTATGCAGAATCCTGAAATAAACTGAAATTATGTAACTTGTGCCACCATAAACGCTTTTCCTGGGCTCTCTTTTTTTTTTCTTTTTTCTTTTTTTTTTTTTTTTTGACCAGGGAAAGGACCTCTTAAGGTATTTTCTTCACCCTTCCATTGAGCATTTGAAGGGAATAAAACTTTTTGGTAGGTGCAGTCACTGACCTCACTACATAATGTTATTCCATAGTAAACTCCATTATTCGGTTACAGCACAATGTTGCTGGGCTGTTCCTGAGTAGATGAATTTTCCGTTCTTATTTCTAATGTATCCTATCCACTTAAGAGACATTTTAAAATGGTATTTTGATATTACTTGCAGGCAGTTGTCTCCATTCTAAGGAACCTCCATATGGAATGAAATGCATGAAACTCTACAGATTTAAGAAAGAGGACAGAATAAGCAGAAACACTCTAGATATGATTGCCCGGTTGTTTGAATTATAATATGATAGTCCAAGGTTTATGGAAGTTACTAAAAAAACAGACTTCTGCACTATAGAAAGTTGTTTTTTTAATAACTTGCATGTATATAAACATTTCCTTTACTTTCTTGAAATGTTGTTTATGAGCAATTATATAAAACCAATTGATGGAGAGCAAAAAAAAAAAAAAAAAAAAGAGGAGGGGGGGGAAGGAGGGTGGGTAGCTGTTCCTGAATAGGAGATAACGTTTGTTTCAGAAAGCTTTGACAGGAGAATTTGCCTCAAAATTGGAAAAACAGAACACAGACTCTAGGCTGAGTGTGAGACTAAGGCTTGAAAAGTTTTAAGTTTGGAATTTGAGCTGAGAGGTATGTTACTGCTGTTCCAGTTCTCATAAATACTCCATTTGGTTTAAGATCTATATTCTAGGTGAAGTTGCATCCATAGGATTGTATTCAAGGCTTATGAAACTCTGGTGTACAGCTGAGCTAATAACCTTTACCATTAACCCACTTCCTTTTCAATGCGTCCTTAAAGATTGTTGCTTCTGCTGCTATGAGACTGAAATGCATATTAACTGTTAATTTGGAATTCAAATGGGGCATTATCCTTTCATCATTGCAAAGCTGACATGCTCGAAATTTGGAATACTCTGTAAGTCTCACAGAAATTCCTAACTTTTAAAAACCTTTTCCGAAGTAATTTGCTTTAATGGCATACTTAAGACCTTTTATTTTTTGATGCCACAAACTAACAGGTTTTTATCCTTAGTTTATTGTGTCTGAAATATAGACTTCATTTTCTAATTGTCTTGCTAAGTTGTAGATACATCTTAACGTGATTTGTGTTACAGCATTTAAAGATTTTTACTTAACCCATCCGATAGATACCTGCTCATAATTGCAGGCAGAGGAAAACACTGTTATGTATATATATTTTTTTCTTCCAATTTTAACAAAACTTTTCAGACAGCCTTCCTCAGAGTACGGTTATGCGCCCCAAGACTTGTGGGGTAAAATAGTGTAGTTTTCACTGTGGTTTTGCTCTTATTGAAGTCATTTTTCTCTACAGTTGATTTCAGTTATGTCTCTGGAAGTGTTCCAGCAAGGCAAACTTTTTAATATTGCACTCCTCTTTCATTTGAAAATGCAGAATTTCTGCAGTTCAGGTACCTTTCAAAACATCCCAGTGTTTTTCATCTTCCTGTGCCTCAGTGCCTTGGAGTTTTCCCTTTTTGTTAGACGTTTTTTTTTTTCTTCTTTTCATTTGAGAGTATTTACCCACATGCTAATTTGGATTTAATAAGACTTCTCTGTTTTCCCTAAACAGCATTGATTTTGAGGGAATGTGCTTATTACATTTTTAGATGAGTTTGACGTATCTTTTAAAAAAAGGCTTTATTACACAAAATAACTGACATATGCTCCCAGGTTGATGTTTGATCTGATTAGCTCTTTGCTCTTTTGAGGAAAAACGGCAGCGAGTGTTTTAAATGGGAATGTTTCCGGTTTTTGCTTGAACTATGTCATAAGCAATGCACTCTCCAAGGCTTTACACTGTAAAACATGTCTGTAAGTTGTCAGATGAAATTGTTTTGGGATAGGCAAAAGAAGTTTTTTGTTATAATTCTTTATCTTCCAAACTGAATGGGAATGCACGCTGTGTTTGTGCAACCTAATTACTCCACTGAGATTGCATCACTGCAATATAGAATAGTTCATCTCGCTTTCTGTAAAGAAGGGGGGAGGGTGTTACAAAAAGAAGAAATCAAGTGGTGCATTTGCATCCAGGCTCACTTTCCTACCATGAAACGTCAAACTCTTGACAATAGCAAACTGTTAGAAAATTGAGGAATTGGTACGAGAAAAAGTTAGTACCTGTTTGTCAGTCTAGCAAACGCTATAAGCAATGTATTTGTGGGGGATAAGTTACTTGATCCTGAATCGATGTCGAAAAAAATATGTTGATCTCTCTGCTATTTCAGATTGTATCCAGTTTTAAAACTACAACATCAAGGGCAATATGTCAACTGGTAAAGGAGTATGTTGGCCACAGGGATGGTATTTGGGATGTCAGTGTTGCGAAAACTCAACCAGTGGTTTTGGGGACTGCATCTGCTGGTAAAGTCTTGCATTGCTTGAATCTTAAGACAATTCTGGTTTAGTCTGTAAACAATAGCAAAAGTAGATCAAAAGCATACTTGAACACTTAGGTCCACCACAGGATCTCAGCTGATCTTTTATTGTCAGTCTTTGTGTTAAGAATTGCTGACTTAACTATCTTTTTTAGTAGCTCTGTGCAACTATGCTTCTGAAGGAGTTCATTTTAAGAAGGTTCATTAGCAAAATTTTTAAATAGCGTGTTTTTTTTTTTTTTTTTAATGCGTTTAATTTTGATATAGCTTTAAAAAGTTCAGGCATCCTTGCTGATCCTTTTAAACTGTTTGCCTCTTGCCTTCT